GGGAACTTTGGGAGGCCTCGTGGACGGCTCTGGGTGGACCCTCTTGGTGGTCTCTTGGGGGGGGGGTCTGCCTGGCCTCTTGGGGGCCTCCTGGGAGCTTCCTGGGGGTCTCTTGGGGGCCTCTTGGGGCTTTCTTGCGGCCTGTTGGGGGCCTCTTGGGGCTCTCTTGGGGGCTTCTGGGGCTACTTGGGGGCTTGTAGGGGCATTTCGGGGGCGTGTTTGGGCGGGAGGCTCAAAATTTCCGTTCAGGTTGCCCCTGTGGACCTCAATCATGGGGCCGTCTTGGGGCCTCTTGGACCGTCTTGAGGGTTTCTTGGGCCTTCTTGGAGCGCTCTTGGGCCGTCTTTGAGCGGTCTTGAGGGTCTCTCGGGCCGTCTTGGGGTGATCTTGGGGGCCTCTTGGACCGCCTTGAAAGGTGTGAAAGACGAAGAGGCGGATATGTTAAAAATGCACGCTTTCCTAAAGGAATGAGACGATTTTTGCTTGTGGGAGCCCTCTTGGGACGCCGCTTAGGGACCTCTTGGGGCGTCTTGAAGGCCTGTTGGGCCGTCTTGAGGCCATCGTAGGCGCTTGGGGGTGATATTTCGGCGTCTCCCGGCTCTCTTGGACCGTCTGGAGGGCTTCTCGGGCCCCTCTTGGACCGATTTGGAGCCCTCCTGGGCTCCGAAAAAGAGTTCTTGAGGGTTTCTTGGGCCTTCTTGGAGCGCTCTTGGGCCGTCTTTGAGCGGTCTAGAGGGTCTCTCGGGCCGTCTTGGGGTGATCTTGGGGGCCTCTTGGACCGCCTTGAAAGGTGTGAAAGACGAAGAGGCGGAGATGTTAAAAATGCACGCTTTCCTAAGGGAATGAAACGTTTTTTGCTTGTGGGAGCCCTCTTGGGACGCCGCTTAGGGACCTCTTAGGGACCTCTTGGGGCGTCGTGAAGGCCTGTTGGGCCGTCTTGAGGCCATCGTAGGCGCTTGGGGGTGATATTTCGGCGTCTCCCGGCTCTCTTGGACCGTCTGGAGGGCTTCTCGGGCCCCCCTTGGACCGATTTGGAGCCCTCCTGGGCTCCGAAAAAGAGTTCTTGAGGGTTTCTTGGGCCTTCTTGGAGCGCTCTTGGGCCGTCTTTGAGCGGTCTTGAGGGTCTCTCGGGCCGTCTTGGGGTGATCTTGGGGGCCTCTTGGACCGCCTTGAAAGGTGTGAAAGACGAAGAGGCGGAGATGTTAAAAATGCACGCTTTCCTAAGGGAATGGGACGATTTTTGCTTGTGGGAGCCCTCTGGGGGCGCCGCTTAGGGACCTCTTGGGGCGCCTTGAAGGCCTGTTGGGCCGTCTTGAGGCCATCGCAGGCGTTTAGGAGTGATATTTCGGCGTCTCCCGGCCCTCTTGGACCGTCTGGAGGGCTTCTCGGGCCTCTCTTGGACCTTTTGGAGCCCTCCTGGGCTCCGAAAAGGGACCTTGCCGGGACCTTGCCGGGACCTTGCCGGGGTACTTCTCGTCCGGGGACCCCCAGGGCCCGCCCCGCGCGCGCGAACTAGAAATATTGTTGAGCAATTACCGGGGATCTTAGCACGCCTCTGGTACGTAATTTCATTCCATAAATGCACTACGGAAAGCACGACGTAACCAACACATTGCTTGAATACTCTAGGCTCTCAGGATTCTCCCAGTAGGCTCCCGAGATACTCCAGGAATGTTACTCAGGCGCTCCTGCGAATGCACTACGTTAGGACGCTGCGCAAGTGCTTCGCGTAAACACATTACGCAGATAACCACGCTCTTGGGATGTTCCAGGGATGTTCCTGCAAAGCTCCCTGGGCGTTCCTGCGAATGCGCTACTTGGGGGCGCTGCGCAAATACACGTCGCAAGTACATTGCGCAAATCAACTACGTGAATCGCGTGGGGAGTGGAATAGACACTACGTAAATTAGCGACACATGTGCTACGTGAATGCACGACGATCCTGAGATTCTCCAGGAAGGCTTCCGGGATGCTCCTTGGGTGCTCCTAGGATGGTCTTGGGATGCTTCTGGAGTTTTCTGAGGACGCTCCTGAGATGCTTCTGGGGCGCTTCTAGGATGCTTCTGGTGTGTTCCTAGGATGCTCCTGGGATGCTCCAAGCATGCTCCCCGTATGCTCCTGGGGCGCTCCTGCGAATTCGCAGCGTGAGTACGCTACGCAAGTACTCTACGCATACCGCATGGAGCTCAAATGGACACTACGCAAACTCACGACACGCATTCACTACGTGAAACCAGTTCGTAAGAAAACACGACGTGAATGCAGTGCGCTCTTGGGATTATCCCAAGAGGCTCTCAGGATTCTCCTGGGGTTCTCCTAGGATGCTCCTGGGGTGCTCTGAGAATGCTCCCGGGGTGCTCCTAGGATGCTCCTGGGATGCCTAGGAAGCTCGTGGGGCGTTCCTGCAAATGCGCAGCGTGAGGACGCTGCACTTCGCAAAACACTACGTAGATCGCATGGTGGGTGGATCAGACACTTCGTACAATCACTACGTCGAAGCACCACGTAAAACGAACAGTACGTAAAAACGCTACGTCAATGCATTGCGCTCCTGGGATGCGGAGGCTGCTGGGGGAGGCGCTCGCGAAGTATGAGTTCCAGAGATGGCGAACCGCACGAGAAGAGCAGAGGCGGCAGCGGAGCCCGCGGACGCGCCGCTCGCCAGGATGCGGGGTGGCTTTCTGGGGCGCGGGCTGTGAATTTGAACGAAGTGGAGCTTCGTCGGAATGTCGGCGGCGAGCGAGGCGGGGAAGTGAGAAGAAGAGGGCCTTCTCAGAAGGTTCGGCAGTCCCCCGACCTTCTGAGAAGTTTTCTAAGCCTCCCTCGAAGACGGAAACCACTTCTCAGAAGGCGTGGGGACTTCTGAGAAGTCCCGCCGCCTTGCGAGAAGGCCTTCTCCTTCTCGCTGCTTCCCCTCGCCCGCCGCCGAGAAGAAGAGAGGAACTCTCCCAGCTGACAGCGGGGCGGCGCTGCCAGAGGGCCCGGAACGGCCTGGGGCGGGCAGGCGCCGTTGACGCCGAGGCCCTGCCGTCCACGCGGGGCGGGCGGGCAGCGCAGGTCTCCCCGTGGACGGCGGGTCGACGGGTCGCGAAAGGGCACGCGGGGGGGGGGCAGGCGCTCTGACGGCGGAGGGGCCTGCGGTCCACGCCGGGGTGGGGCGAAGGGCGCGACGAGGCCAGCCCCTGGCTGGCAGTGGGGCGCCACGGTCAGACGGCTCCGGAGCCAGGCAGGCAGGCACGATAAGAGTTGGCAACGATGCCCGGCTCAAAAAATTGCAGAGTGTGTGTGCCAGCGCATTTTCTTTTGCGGCGTTGGGCGCCCTGGCGCGGACGGCCGAACGACCCCTGCAGCGGGACACCCTGCCCACGCGGTCGGCGCCGCAAAAACTGCGCGTTCAACGCGGGCGCCGCGCAAAGGCGCGCTCGCGCCTGCGATAAGAAAGCTTGGAGCCGAGCATCGCTGCCACCGCAGCTCGCGGTGGGACATGCTTGGCAGTGGGGGCGCACCGTCGGCGCGAGGCTGGCGGGCGGCGCAGGGCGCAGGGCTTCCTGCTGACAGTGGGGCGCCAACGTCAAGCGGCTTCGGGTCCGGGTGGGGGTGCGGGTTTGGCGGTGGGGCCCAACCGTGGACGCGTTGCGAGGGGGGGCTGTGGGGGCCCCGAGGAGAAGGGCCGCGTTCCCCGGAGGAGCCCCGGAATTTCTCGTTGGCAGGTGGGGCCCCCTTGTCGGATGGGCCTGGTCGGCCGAAAAGACCACGTGACATTGACAGCGGGGCCCACTTGTCAAGCAGTGGCGAAGCGTCATGGCTCGCCTATAGACCTGCCAAACAATGTTATAAGAACCTGTTGTGGCTTCCGCGAAATGTTCTTAGAACATTTCTGGCGGAGCCGGTCTTGTTTTATCACATCGGGTTTATGTCCTAAGAACATGGTTTTTGTTCTTGGAACGTTCTTGAGTTCTGCGAACATTTCGTGGTAGGACTAGGACTGCCGGGACGGTCGGTCCCTGCTCAAACTTGTGAGCTGCAGAGTTCGACTCTGCAGTCCGCCCGCTGGCAGTGAGGTTGCACGTGTTCTGCGCCTGGGGCGGCCGAGGTGGGAAGGTGTCTTGTTTGGTCGTAGAAGGGCGTGTCAAACTGCTAGATTTGGGTCCCTTGGGGGGGACCAATCGGGAGGATCGAAATGGGTACGGAAAGAATGGGCGCGATACCCAGCAGCAGTTCCTGTTCAGTTTGAACAGGACTGGCTGTCCGCGCCGCCGCGGACGCTGCTCACTGAAGCCGGAAAGCCGCTGGCCCGACAGCGGCCGCTGTCGGTTTTGGACAACATTTGTTGTTGGGCATTTGGGCATTGCACCCGCTATTTCTGCACCCGCTTCGGGCGTCCAAAACAAAAGGGGGAAGTATCTCACACACCTGGAGGCCCACGAGGGGTCGGCGGAGTTGGGGATTGGTTCTTGGAGGCGTCCCGCCCCTGCATCCAGATGAGGAACTAGATTTGGGAGGTCGGCTCCCCCTCATTCCCTCTTCCCCCGCCCGCTCCTTGCTTCCAGCGGACACGCGCGCGCGCCGAACGGAGGGTCTGGTGGTTCACGCGTCCCAGCCGCGCGCCCGTCTCTTCCGCCTTCAGGTTATCCTCTTGCTCAATCCTCATCCTCTTCAAGATGCCGAGGAGGAGGAGGAGGAGGAGGAGGAGGAGGAGGGGAAGGAGGAGGAGGAGGAGGAGGAGGAGGAGGAGGAGGAGGAGGAGGAGAACGGGAAGAAGGAGGAGGAGGAAAAGAAGGAGGTAGGGGGGAGAAGGATGCAGTAGACGAAGAGGGGGGGACGAGGAGGAAGAAGTGGGAGGGAAGCAGCGGAGGAGAAGAAGGCAGCAGGAAGATGAGGAGCAGTAGGAGGAGATGGAAGATGAGGGAGCAGGCAGGAAGGAGGGAGGAGGAGGAGGAGGAGGGGCAGGAGAAGGTCTCACCGCCCGCGTGGCGACGCCCACCCACCCCCGGTGCCAGGCGCCACCTTGGTGACCCTCTTCCTGCTGTTGCAGGGAGTCTTCGCCTGCGCGTTCGAGTGGATATTCTTCGGATGGGGGGGGCTGCTAGTGACCCGAAAGTGGCCAGACACGTGTCGCTTCACTCAAAATTGTTGCCAGCGTGGACCCCACCAAATCGTGATGTCAGCTGGACGTGCAAGTGATGTGGCCGATGCTGCGTGGTCCGAACTGTATGGTACTTGATCAAATTAAGTCGTCAACTCCTATGTACGAGCAAACGTCCCACCAGCCCACTCGCAGCTCGTGTATTGGCAAAACTCAACTGCCGCAATGACGCGATGACCCTTCTCATGTAGATCCATGGTTCGGGCGGGCAAGTAGTCCTGGTGACGACACGGCCACATCGGCGACGGCGACTCTGATGTTTGCAATGGTGGTGGCGCTGATGACGAGGCCGACGGCAACGACGACGGCGATGACGATGATGATGACAACGGTGGTGGAGGTGACGGCGAGGAGAAGGAGGAAGAGGAGGGAGACGACGAGGAGGACGAGGCGCCGCGAACTGTCGACCCCAAACCGCCTCGAACCGCTGGCTTCCGGCCGCCCTGCACCGTCGGCCCTCAGGCCCGCAGTCGTCAGCCCCACAGCGCCACGATTCGAATCGTCACCCCTCGGCCGCCACGCCTCCGGACGCGCAGCCGTCAGCCCAGGGCGTTGCGGCGGAAGCCCACGCCGAGCAACACCCTGCTTGCCTCCAGAGGGCCCTGGGCTTCTTGGGTTTCGATGGTTTTGCTGTGGAGAGCGTGACGCTCCCTCACCAAAAGTCAATGGACGTGCTGCCCTCCCGTGCTCCTGGCACGCCGCGCGGCGGATGGGAGCTCCCGACCGTAGGAGTGCCGCGGGTGGGCCACCTGGGACACCGAGCTGCTCGGCCCGAGGGCCGACCACATTCTAGACAAAACATAACAAGATCGGCGAGCACCGATTTTTTTAATGGACGTCCTGTGGTCTCAGGGTTGGGTTTCTTGTGGAAGGTTCCTTGTGGTCGAGCTCCTACTGTACGGTTCGCCTCTCCTTCCGCCGCCCTGAATCGCCAGTCCTCGGCCGCTGCAGCCCGTCCGCCCTCGGACGCCACGAGTCGTCTGCCTATCGGCGCCCTTCCCTCGCCATCGCCCTGGATGGCAGCTTGGTTGTCACCTTGCTTGGCATCCTCGGCGGACGTCTTCTGTCCTGCTGATGGCCGTCTTTCTTTTCCGACGTGAGTTCGACGCGGATTCGACACGGATTCGACTCGCTCGACACGGATTCGACGTGGATCGTGGCGCGACGGGACAGACAAGGTCCTTTGACGATGCAATACAAGTCACCCTATCTCTCCGTCGAGCTCGCCCATGGGAAAGCAGATTGAGCAGCAGGCACGAGGATTGAGAACAGCCCGATCGCTGGAGGGTCAAGTCTCCTTACGTTCTTCGTGCTGGGGCTCTCCACACGAAGTGCTCTCCGACCCGGGTGGGTGTCTCCAGTGGGGCTTGGGCGGCGAAGAGGCGCGTGTTCGTGATCCGCGCTGCTTCTGGCATGCGAGTTGTGCCTCTGGCCGATGACTGCCCGCTTATATGCTGTTGCTCTGGCATGCCGCCGAGAGGCGATCCGTGATGCGTCGTGCGTGGGATGCCCGCGCCCCCCTCCCTTGCCCTCCTCCACTCTCTCCACATGGTGCGCGGCGGTTAGAAAACCAGATTGGCCCGCGATCGTGTGGCCGCACTTCGACTTCGTCGCCTCCCCTTGCTGTGCAGGCCTTGCCGACCAGGCATGCGAACGCAGACGCCGAGAGCCCGGACCAGATTCGAGGTTTCTGCAAAACGAGGTCCCCGGAGATCTCGGCTCTTTCCCAGCGGCCGACTTGTCATCACGGGTCCTCGTCTTGCGCCCCTGGATTCCGAAAACTGTTGGCAGGCGCCAAAAAAGCATGTTGCTGTTCATGAAGTCGACCCGCTCAGAACCGTTGTCTGCCCACCTAAGAGATCCTTCCTGGCAAGTGGCTCTCCGCAATCGTGTCGAGCCGTCGCGACGAGGAGGACCCACCCGAAGCTAAGCACAAGAGCAACCAAGGGAGAGTTGGTTTCCCTTCTCGTCGCCGTCGTCGGCGAAGCGCCTTCCAACACACCTGCCCCGTGCCTTCTGTCGGGCATGTCCCCCCACAGGCGGATGTTGGATGCAATTGTTAACAAGGTTTAGAAACAAAACGCCCAAAAAATCAAAAAACGGGGAAAATAGTCCCCCGATTATTTTGTTGGCTATGTTTGAGCGTCCCCCCATGCAGAGGGTCAGGCCCGACTGAACCCCGGACCTGTCCTGAGGTGCGTGATGGCCAGACTCACCTGTGCCGCGCGCCGCCGCCGAGCCTGCCCTGCTCCCGTGCAGCGGAGGCCCGCGCGCGGCCGAAAACGGTAACGCGTGGGAGGATAGAGATAAAGGGGGAGGGGGAGGGGGAGGAGGGAGGAGGAGGAGGAGGAGGAGGAGGAGGAGGAGGAGGAGAATGAGGGAGGAGGAGGAGGAGGAGGAGGAGGAGGAGGAGGAGGAGGTGGAGGAGGAGGAGGGAGGAGGAGGAGAAAGAGGAGGAGGAGGAGGAGGAGGAGGAGGAGGAGGAGGAGGAGGAGGAGGAGGGAGGAGGAGGAGGAGGAGGAGGAGGGAGGAGGACACGAGAGCCCGGCCCCGGCGACGAGGAGCCTCCTGGCGGCCCAGGCGGGGCCTCCAGAGGAGGATCCTCACACGAACCCCCACCTCCAGCCCCAGTGCCAGGGGCCCAATCCCTCCCTCCCCCCCCTCCTGACTCCTCCATCCTCCCTCTTCGACGACAGCGACGACGACGACGACGACCTCCCGACTCCTCCATCCTTCGCCCGCTGGCACGCCTGCTTGCCAGTGGCTTCTTCGGCCGCCGGGCTCTAGCCGCCTCCCCTCTCGGCTCCGTGCTCGTGCCTTGTCCGTGCGTGCTCCCCCTTTTGGCCTTTTGCGTCCGCCCCTGCTTCGCTCCCCACCTCCCTCCTGACTCCTCCATCCTCCCTTCTCCGCATCCTGCATCCTCTGTCCTCCGCACTCCTCCTTTCGGATGCAATTCCTGGGAGGTAGAATTATTCCTTTGCCCTGGTCCGAAACTCGGCGCAATCCGGCTTGATCCCGCATAATTCCCCTTCAAGCTGGCTTAATCCCGTTTAATCCCGCTTAGTCCGCACCCAATCCAGCGCAGCAGCCCCCCAATGGGGCCTAATTCTCCCAACCCTTCCGACGCAGACCTCCCAGCAGTTGCCCCCGAATCCATCTTCCATCCTCCATCTTCTCTCTCCCTCGAGGCTCGGCCTTCGAACTCCATCCTCCCGCTTCTTCGACCCTCCCTTCTCCCTCCTCCGCCTCCTCGATGCTTAACCTTCGACCTCCCCCGCCTGAGGTGAGCCCAGTCCATGGGGGCCCACCCCTCCCTCCCACCTCACTCCTGACTCCTCTATCCTCTATCCTCCCTCGACGACGACGACGACGACGACGACGACGACGACGACGACGTCGACGACGACGATTCTGTCCGCCGCTTCCTCGATGCTCGACCTTCCGCCTCCGCCCCCGGAGGGAGCCGCGGGGGAGGCCACCCCGTCACGCTGGGGCAGCTGGCCGGGAGCGCCGCCATCTGCGCCGGGCTCCTGGTCGTGGTGACGGCGCAGCAGGCGGCGCCGACACCACGAGAGGGGAGAGGGGAGGGAGAAGGAGGAGAAGGAGGAGGAGGGGGAGGAGGAGGAGGAGGAGGAGGAGGAGGAGGAGGAAGAGGAGGAGGAGGAGGAGGAGAGGGAGGAGGAGGAGGAGGAGGAGGAGGAGGAGGAGGCGTCGGCCCCCAGGGCGGAGAGCCGTCGAGAAGAAGGGTGCCCGTCAGAGGTCCCCGATCTGGGCCGGCACCATTCGGATGTTGCTAGAAGCGCTGCTTCGTAGGAGGCTCTGCGTTCGGGAGGCGCGGCTTTCGCGGACACCCTCTCCTCTATTCTCTCTTGCCTCTACGCGCGAAAGGCCCCGGGGGGCGGTGCCGCGCGTCCCAGCGGCCCTGTGACGCTCAGGCGCCGCCCGTTCGCTCGGAACTGCGCGGGACCCCTGGCCGAAGGTGCCCCGAGGATTTCCAGGGAGGCCTCCACGATTTCCAGAGCGCTCGGAGGCCCCAGGGGCTCCAAAGTGCAGCGAAGAGTGGGGAGCACCCTGGGCCAGGGGCACCTTTGGCAACACCCGACGAATAGCCCAGGGGCGGGCAGTTCACGCCTTCGTCGGGGAGCCTCGCCGAAGGCATTGTTTGTCGGCGCCCCCGGATATATCTAGTGCCCTCCCCCACCCATTCGCTCCCGTTGTCGCCCCGGCCACCGCATTGCCCTCGGCTTGAGGAGGCGCAATCATGGACTGGGGCACTCCTCCTCCTCCTCCTCCTCCTCCTCCTCCTCCGCCTCCTCCTCCGTCAATTCGCGACGGGTCCCGTTGCCGTACAGCTTCTCGGCGCACTCCGTCGCCAAATCGGGCGGGCCGCGTTAGCCTCATGCTTCGGCGGTGTTTTTCCCGATCCGTGGATCTGGCGCCCACGCGCCAGATCCAAGGATCCATAATCCATGCTTGTCTGCGCCCGATCGGCGTCTGTTTCTAGACACAGCCTCCTGAGGGAGGACTTCGAGGATGGAGGTTGATGATGGTTTACACCCATTGTGGGCCTCCTGGCCCGTTTCATCGGCTGCTGATGCTAGTCTGTTCGACAGCGCGGCACCACGGAAGCTTCTTGCACTCCTTGTAGAGGAGGGGGCTCCTTTCAAGATTACGACGATGTGAAGGAAGCGAAGAAGGAACGAGCATGATGAGCAAGGAACAGGATTTGTCGGATCTTGCGGAGAAGGAGGAGGAGGAGGAGGAGGAGCAACACAAAACCGTACAACAGCAATTGAACACATTCGGGACAGAATGAACCCGTTGAAAATCAATCAACACATTGTGCTTGCTCAGATGTTCCATGTGCTCCCATGAATCGCAATGGTTCCGCTCGTGCAGTCTCAGCTATCCAACATACGCATGACTAGAATGGTTGCATCACCTTCGCACGCGCATATATTCCACGCTGTCGGACAATGCAGGAATTGGGGAAATGCTCCCTGGCAGTCCTGAACATAATGAAGCATCGAATGACTATTCAAGCACCGGCGAAGCCAACATGCCGCTCCAATCAAAACGCTACGCCAGCCCAGTTGTTCACATTATGGAAATGTGGGTTTCGCTTGTGCCTGCTCTGAAAACCCAAACCACATCAAGTAACATATTTGTTTCTCCTGCGTGAATATGTTGCTTTCCCCTATGCTTGCTCTGTTGCTCTATTGTCCAAATTGTCTGACGGAAACCGGGACTCCGAATATCAGCATCCCCCACCCTTCTGAAGACATTTGCACAACAAACACCAGTGTTGAGCAAGCGCAGGCGATACAATCATGTACATTCATGAGGTTTTCCAAACAAAAGCGTTGCCATCGGAGAAGTTGTCGCTGCGAGCGAGCTTGGAGCGAGGCCATGTTTAGAACCGAAAACTCACCAGCTGGAGCAGACTGAGGCAGTGGATGACACACAGGGCTCAGCACTGGGCACAAGAGGTCGCCAGCATCAATGCCTTGGCGCAACCCATATCCAGCTCGATTGGTATCTTCAACCAGATGTCTGATGCACTGCCCTTCAAAGAAGCGCCACATAGGGTGAAATATGATTTCGCACGCCTTGCCGCGCAGCGGGCGCAGGAGCTTCTCAGTCGGCAAAACTTAGCCAATCTCGGACGCTCTCTGCGCACCCCGTTACCTCAGCAGCACAAGTTACGGATCGAAAATTTATCTGACGGCGTGTAGTTGGAAGATTGTGATCTAGTTTTGACTCTGGCGCAACAGGCACTGTTCCACGCAAGGCCCACCATGGCCTTCCGAAGGATAGCCTGGAGGAGCACTGGGCTAGTACAAGCCAGCGCGGTGCCAACCCCGTGGTGACCGCAGGAGCACCGCAGAGCTTGGCACAGTCCACCCCAGACGCTGCACCGCGAAGGACAGGGCCCCGACGGGGCCGCGCACGCGGATCCGCTTCCTGGGCTGACCCGTCGGCTTCTAACGAGTGACACTGCCCCGCCCAAGCCCCCTTGCTCCACCTGACGATGGGAGCGACAGCGCCGTACCAGCACGGCCCATCCTGTAAGACCAGCCGCGGTGGCAAGGGCCGCCCGCCCGCCGTGGGGCGCAAACACGTCCATGCCTGGACTCTGACACCTTTCAGCTCGTAGCCCCTGAGCTCACGCACCTCCGCTCCGGGAGGAGGAGGGCGGAGGAGAGCGGAGGAGGAGGAGGAGGAGGAGGAGGAGGAGGACGATAAAGGAGGAGGAGGAGGAGGATAAAGGGGAAGGAGGAGGAGGAGGAGGAGGAGGAGGAGGAGGAGGAGGAGGAGGATAGGCGTCCCCGGGAAGGGGGCCGCTGGCGCATGCCCGCCGTGCGGTGCGTCCCCCGCGACGAAGCGTGAGTACGCCGGGGAGCCCATCGCCCGACCCCTGCGCACGAGCGCCTCGTGCTCCTGCGCGTCTGTCGGACCGCACCGCTACCAGCTGGACGGGGCCACGAGCCGAGCCTGAGGGGGTGGAGGTGCGGAGGACGAGGAAGAGAGGACGAGTTGGAAGAAGGGAGCAAGACGGTGGGAGGAGAGGGAGGGGGTGCTGGGCGAGCTCGGTGCGCTCGCGCCATGTCTCACATCCCACCCCTCCCACCCATCCCTCCCCACCGCGCTAAATCCTCTTCCACCCGCCGACTGGGGGTGTCTTCGAGGACCGTGATCCTCATCGCGCCATGCGCAATCAGGCGGGGGGGGCACATGCGAAGAGCAGCAAAAGGTGATCGAGCAGGCGAATGACCGGGAGAAAAGAGCAGGATTGATGAGGAGGAGCAGGCGCAGGTGCAGGAGGGGCAGGAGCAGGATCAGGAGGGGCAGGAGGAGCAGCAGGAGGATCGGTGGAGGGCCAGAGGGACCAGGGGGAGGCGGGGGAGGGGAAAGGGACGGGGGCGCCAACGACGAGGAAGCGTTCGGATCCAGAAATGTGGCATGCGCTGGGGCGAGAGCGCCCTCCTGAACGGCGGGAGCTCAAGCACCGATCCTGAAACGAGGCCAACGCTGCAGCGGGAGCACTTGTCCGAAACGCCGACTCGAAAACTTCCCGATTGAAAAACGAGCCACACAAAAACCATGATTGAAGCCTTGAGTTGCTCAAAACCAACACACGGAGCGGGCGGGATCGTTTCAGGACGTAGCCCGGGGAGAGCAATAGTATTCAGAATGGGTAGCCGTAGGAGCTGCAAAGCGGAGGGCGGACTCCTGCTGGCGCGCCAGGCGAGCTACGTGGACACGCGAAGCGCATGGTCCACCGCCCTATTCAGCGGGAGCTGCTGTGCCGGCCCGGGCCCCGAGGGCGCCGAGCCCGAGGCGAGCCCCTCCGAGACCACCACGGACTGAGAAGGCGCAGCCTGTTGGTAGACATGTCGGGCCCTCTTTGAGTCTCCTACCTCCGGCTCCTCCTCCTCGTCATCTTTCTCCCCCCCCCCCCCCCCCCCCCCTGTTTCGCGCAGGGACGGCCCGTGACGAGAAGCCCGCCCGAGAGGTAGAGCTCTTCACCACCCACCAAGCCAGCCCCAATCCGGCCCGAAGGCCCAAGGTTGCCCTCCACTCCCAGCAGGTGTGGGGCGTCGGGGAGCATCGAAAAACAAAACACGTGGGGGGCCGCAGCCCCCCAGCCCGAGGTTGGGATAGGGTGGTCTGGTAGGCAGTCAGCTCTGAGGCTTGCACCGTGGGAGAACCAGGGCGACGGAGGTCCGGGTCCCTGCTCCGCCCCCTTCCTCGCCCTGCTGCTGCTGCGCGCTGCTCCTGCTCCGCACTGGCCCCGCGTCCTTGTCCTCGTCCTCCTCGCCGTCCTCGTCCTCGTCGTCCTCGCCGTCCTCGTCCTCGTCGGCGTCGGCGTCGTCGCTCTCTCCTCTTAGGCATCGGACGGCAAAGCGCCGTTTCAGGTTTCGTTTCAATGATGAGAAGAGGCCGCGGTTTTTGGGCCTTCCCGCGGAAGAGTCGTGGAGGCGTGCAGGGTCTCAGAAATGCGCTTTACTGTTGACGGGCGCGGGGCGCACATCTAGCCAGCTGGAAGCGCCCGTGCGACGCCGCCAGTGCAGGTGCAGGAGTTGCAGGTGCAACGACCGGCACCCGTACCGCCGCCGCCAGCAGCCCCCTCGCCCCGCTTCCTCTCCTTCCGCGGCCTGGACGGGGAGCGCGGGCCATGTTGCCCAGGTCCGAGCGCGCAGAGGTGAGCCCGCTCGCCGTGGAGGACCGGCAGCAGGAAGCGAAAGAAGGAGGGTGGGGAGGAGGAGGAGGAGGAGGAGGAGGAGGAGGAGGGAGGAGGGAGGGAGGAGGGAGGAGGGAGGAGGAGGGAGGAGGAGGGGAGGAGGAGCAGGAGGAGGGCGGAGAGGATAAAGGAAGGAGGAGGAGGAGGAGGAGCAGGAGGAGGGGAGGAGGAGGGGGACGGAGAGGAGGAGGAGGAGGAGGAGGAGGAGGAGGAGGACGAGGCGGAGGAGGAGGGGGAGGAGGGAGGAGAGAGGAGGAAGGAAGCGAATGACGGAGGATCGGAAGCAGGATGGAATTGAGCAGTGCCCTCAAAATTCAAGCAGTAGACAACGTCCTGTGGTGGAACCCATGATGGCCTCCCCCGCTGCTCGAGGAGCATCGATCCATATGGTCAGGAACTTTCGGCTTAGCGTGTCGCTCCGCCAGTTTGGGCCCACCACGCTCCGGCGCGACACGCTATCCACGTCCCCATTCCTAAGTGTCAACGTCCCGAGCCTTTTCCAGCCTCCCGCTCCGCGGAGCGGAGCGACACGGTACCAGCTTGCAAGGTATAGCGTGTCTCCAGGGCCGCCGCCGCGACACGCTAAGCACAAGTTCCTGACCGTCATAGATGTCTATTCCCGCTCTTTGTTCATGCCGCTGATGCACCGCGCCTGCATACGCGCTGTCAGGACGGCAAAGGCCGGCCCCTAATAGCGCGCGATTGCTTGCAATAATCTGCTGCGGAGCAGAGGAAGAGCCAGCGAAAGGCTGCGTCATGGTCATCCCCTGTTTCGTCTCAACCCTAAATCCTCCTCCGCCTCCTCATTTCCCGCGCATTCCTCCACGGCATCCCGACCCTTCCCTCTCATCCAAGTCCCGCGCATTGCCCGATCCTGCTCCAACCAACAGCCCAAATACCGCCTGGCGGACACACTGGTCCGACGCCTCTCGAGGGGGGCAGGTTGTCCTTCGCAGGCCGAACCGTGTGTCGACCTCCACCCACCTGGGGGACGCCGTAGTCGGCGCTTGGGGCCCCTCCGGGCGGGCCCCGACATCGGTGGATTCCCAGATCTCATGCGATATGATTAAGTCGGGCCTGTGACGCTACAGGGGGGAAGTTCAAAAATAGTCAAAAAATAGTATGGGGATTATTTTTCTGCATTTTCGTGACAATTTTGGGGCATGTTTTGAGTATTTGTTCCCCACATCCTAAGTGGGTTTTTTGTTTTCTCTGCACACCCTCCGCGCAGGATCTCCTCCTCCTCCCTCTCCTCTGCTCCTCTTTGCTTCCTCCTCCGCATCATCATCACCATCACCATCACCCCCACTCATCATCATCATCACCATCAGCATCACCATCACCATCCCACGATCACTCACCATCATCGGCATCGAACGATCATCATCATCATCATCATCATCATCATCATCATCATCATCATCATCATCATCATCATCATCATCATCATCATCATCATCACTACTCGCTGACTTGAGGCCTGAATATGGAGGATGTCTCGAGCGGGAGCCTCGTCTGTGAGTGAATTGCGAGGAAGTCTCAGGCGGGAGCCCCCTCCTTATGGGGCCCGCACTTCATGTTTGAATCCGAGCGGGTCATCCGCAACGTGCAACTGTCGTCACTTTTGGGCTCTTGAGATATGAATATGGAGGAAGTCTCGAGCGGGAGCCTCGTCTGTGAGTGAATTGTGAGGAAGTCTCAGGCGGGAGCCCCCTCCCTATGGGGCCCGCACTTCATGTTTGAATCCGAGCGGGTCATCCGCAACGTGCAACTGTCGTCACTTTTGGGCTCTTGAGATTGAATATGGAGGAAGTCTCGAGCGGGAGCCTCGTCTGTGAGTGAATTGCGAGGAAGTCTCAGGCGGGAGCCCCCTCCCTATGGGGCCCGCACTTCATGTTTGAATCCGAGCGGGTCATCCGCAACGTGCAACTGTCGTCACTTTTGGGCTCTTGAGACTTGAATATGGAGGAAGTCTCGAGCGGGAGCCTCGTCTGTGAGTGAATTGTGAGGAAGTCTCAGGCGGGAGCCCCCTCCCTATGGGGCCCGCGCTTCATGTTTGAATCCGAGCGGGTCATCCGCAACGTGCAACTGTCGTCACTTTTGGGCTCTTGAGATATGAATATGGAGGAAGTCTCGAGCGGGAGCCTCGTCTGTGAGTGAATTGCGAGGAAGTCTCAGGCGGGAGCCCCCTCCCTATGGGGCCCGCACTTCATGTTTGAATCCGAGCGGGTCATCCGCAACGTGCAACTGTCGTCACTTTTGGGCTCTTGAGACTTGAATATGGAGGAAGTCTCGAGCGGGAGCCTCGTCTGTGAGTGAATTGCGAGGAAGTCTCAGGCGGGAGCCCCCTCCCTATGTGTCCCGCACTTCATGTTTGAATTCGAGCGGGTCATCCGCAACGTGCAACTGTGGTCACTTCTGGGTTCCTGAGACTTGAATATGGAGGAAGTCTCGAGCGGGAGCCTCGTCTGTGAGTGAATTGCGAGGAAGTCTCAGGCGGGAGCTCCCTAGTGTCCGCACTCATGTTTGACTCGAGCGGTCTCCGCACCGTGCAACTGTGGTCACTTCTGGGTTCCTGAGACTTGATATGGAGGAAGTATCGAGCGGGACCTCGTTTGTGAGTGAATTGCGAGGAAGTCTCAGGCGGGAACCCCCTCCCTATGGGGCCCGCACTTCATGTTTGAATCCGAGCGGGTCATCCGCAACGTGCAACTGTCGTCACTTTTGGGCTTCTGAAATATGAAAATGGAGGAAGTCTCGAGCGGGAGCCTCGTCTGTGAGTGAATTGCGTGGAAGTCTCAGGCGGGAGCCCCCTCCCTATGGGGCCCGCACTTCATGTTTGAATCCGAGCGGGTCATCCGCAACGTGCAACTGTCGTCACTTTTGGGCTCTTGAGACTTGGATATGGAGGAAGTCTCGAGCGGGAGCCTCGTTTGTGAGTGAATTGCAGGGAAGTCTCCGGCGGGAGCCCCTTCCCTATGGGGCCCGCACTTCATGTTTGAATGTCGTCACTTTTGGGCTTTTGAGGCCTGAATATGGAGGAAGTCTCAGGCGGGAGCCTCGTCTGTGAGTGAATTGTAAGAAAGTCTCAGGCGGGAGCCCCCGCCCTATGGGGCCCGCACTTCATGTTCGAATCCGAGCGGTCATCCGCACGTGCGTGCATTTCGTCACTTTTTGTTGGGCTGTTGAGATTTGTATATGGAGGAAGTCTCGAGCGGGAGCCTCGTCTGTGAGTGAATTGCAGGGAAGTCTCCGGCGGGAGCCCCCTCCCTATGGAGCCCGCACTTCATGTAGGAATCCGAGCGGGTCATCCGCAACGTGCAACTGTCGTCACTTTTGGGCTCTTGAGGCCTGAATATGGAGGAAGTAGCAGGCGGGAGCCTCGTCTGTGAGCGAATTGTGAGGAAGTCTCAGGCGGGAGCCCCCTCCCTATGGGGCCCGCACTTCATGTTCGAATCCGAGCGGGTCATCCGCAACGTGCAACTGTCGTCACTTTTGGGCTCTTGAGATATGAATATGGAGGAAGTCTCGAGCGGGAGCCTCGTCTGTGAGTGAATTGTGAGGAAATCTCAGGCGGGAGCCCCAGGAGGAAGAGGAAAGGGCAAAGGGTAAGCTAAACAGATTCTCATGTGGGGTCCTACCGTCGGAGTAATTGTTTTTCGTCGACAATCCCCCTGTATGGGGGACACGCCCGATTTTAGGATCTGATCGAGGATCGAAGGTCGAGGATCGAACTTCGAGGATCGAGGTTCGAACCTCGAGGTCCGAGGCTTTCCGGCAGCCTCCCTGGGGCCGGCAGCGGCCCGCCCGGAGGGGCCCCGGGCCCTCGCTCTTCCCCGCTGCTGCCGCTCCGGCGGCCGCCCGGGGTCGAGGAGGTGCTCCAGCGTGCACACGGGGCTGGCACTGTGGAGGTCGATTCACGGAGGATGACGATTGGTAAATGACCGGGGGTCGTGTTCACGCGGCCGCGCCCGGGATGACGGTTAGAAGAAGCCGGCCGCGGGCTGGAAAACTATGTTGTTTAAATCGTTCTCCTCCAGTCAGAAAAATATGCAGAAATAGCCAGAAATTATGTTTTAATCGTTCCCTCCCATTTTTTATTAATCGTCATCCCGCATTAATGGAGAGGAAGCATGCTGCCAAAGAATTTCCAGATCTCTAAAAAAT